ACCTTAATGGGCCTAAAGCCCATTTCGAACTGGGCTGATTTGATCAGTTAAATAAGGGGCGAGTTCTGGGATTGGATAGGCAGATAGGATAGGGTCTTAACCCTATCCACTCAGAGAGTCCAGATCTGAATGTGATTCAGATCTAGAAACCTCCTAATGAGATTAGGAGAAGGCTGATCCAATCTGCAGATAAGAAAAGGGTTTACCCTTATCACTTAAAGGGATGTCTGATCCAAATATGATTTGGATTAGCAACTCCTAATGGGATTAGGAGCTGATCCCTTTAAGGTTACAAAAGAAGGAGGGGGCGGCAGCCTTTAGAAAAAAAAACATATTCACATCCTCTTCAGAGCTGAAATCACAGAAGGAAGAATTAAGCAACCCTGCGAAATTCTTTCTTGCCGCCTCCTTCCTGCCGCCGCCTCACCTGCCAGTTTGACCTCCAGTTCAATGGGAGAAATTCAAGATTCGATCTTGACATTAGTTCCTTGTGAAGGGACTGATAGGAAGCTGTGCTCATGTGCCATCCTGCTATTTCTTGCGAAGGATTAGGTTCTTGGAGAAAACATTGCTGATTCTGCTCCATCCTACACTGCGCCATCTTCAGTGGGTGCAGTCTTTGGATCCTTCCTTGGGCATGAACACCTTCGTTGGGGGATATTATTTCTCCATATCAGGTATAATCCACTCCTACTGCTTTTGTTCAGATCTGGTTCGATTCATGGTTCAAGATTAATCCTAGAAAAATATGATTTTTCTAAAATAGGGAATGCGATTCCTAGTTGAAGGGAGAGAAATTTTTGAAATTCGCCCACCTTATTCCGCAAGATTTGGGCGTCCATACGATGGATCTCTCATCCCTTCACTACTGTTGTTAATCTGATTTTGTGCAATATGTTCATGATATGTGTGTATTAGTATCTTTATGACTTTGACTTGTACAGTTTATGACACGCAGAAGTGAAAAGGAGAGCATCACATACGATCCAGAGATTGAACGAATTCTTTGCCGTCACATTAGAGCTTCTAGGCAAGAGAAAGCTGAAAGTACAAAGATGGCCGAGCAAAGGATCATGATGGACTATGCCAAACCAACCCTCACTGGGGCAGCCTCGAGCATTGTGAGACCAGCAATAGCTGCTAGCAACTTCGAGATCAAACCAGCAATCATTCAGATGATCCAGAACATAGTTCAGTTCTATGGCTTAGCTAATGAAGATCCAAACACTCACATCACCAACTTCTTGGAGATATGTGACACATTCAAGCACAACGGAGTTAGTGATGATGTTGTGAGGCTCAAATTATTTCCGTTCTCATTGAAGGACAAGGCTAACACTTGGCTGAACTCTCTACCAGCTGGATCGATCGCCACTTGGGATGAAATGGCCAGCCGCTTCCTATCCAAGTATTTCCCTCTGTCCAAGACTGCAAAGATGCGGAATGATATCACCACCTTCTCTCAGCAGGACGGGGAGTCATTGTATGAGTCATGGGAGCGTTACAAGGAATTACTAAGGAAGGTCCCTCATCATGGACTTCCCATATGGTTCCAAGTTTAGATGTTCTACAACGGATTGACCGAACAAATAAGACTATTATGGATGCTACAGCTGGAGGATCCATTAATAACATGACCCATGAAGTTACCCATGCACTCATTGAGGAGATGGCTGCAAACAACTACTAGTGGCATTCCGAGAGAGCCCAAGTTAGGAGACAACCCAGTCTTCACAATGTAGACACCTATACAACACTATCTGCACAAATCGGCACCCTCAGCAAGAAGATAGATGAAATGCAGTTGGCAGCCATGCATGTTCAAACCGTAGTCTGTGAATGGTGTGGGGGAGGTCATATCAGCACTGAATGTCAAGTTGGAAATTAGTTCATGCAGTCCCCCGAGCAAGTAGATTTCGTAGGGAATTTGCAAAGGTAGCAAGGTAATCAGTACCCTTGTGCATTCAACCTCGGATGGAGGAATCACCCCAATCTGACTTGGTCAAATCAAAATGCGATGAAACCCTTCCCTCAAAATTTCACTCAGCCAGAAAAAAAATCTAATCTAGAGGAGCTGATGACCAAGCTCATATCAAGTGCGGAAATGAGATTTCAGAACCAAGAGGCATCGATCAAGAACTTGGAAACTCAAGTGGGGTAGTTGGCACGAATGATATCTTCTAGAGTCCAAGGTACCTTACCTAGCAATACCGAAGCAAATCCAAGAGAGCAGGTGCAAGCCATTACCATGATGAGTGGTAAGGAGCTGCAAGAGGTGGAGAAGAAAGCAAAGGAAGAAGGTAAGATGGGAGCAACCCTAGAAACCAAAAAGGAGGAAGAGCAGTCTGATTCAAAGAAAGAGACAAGTCAACAGCTGCAAGTACCATTTCCCAATAGGCTTAAGCGACACAAAATGGAAAAGGAATTTGGTAAGTTTCTTGAAATTTTCAAGAGTTTACATATTAACATTCCTTTTGCAGATGCCTTAGCCCAGATGCCACACTATGCAAAGTTCCTGAAGGAAATATTGGTGAACAAAAAGAAACTGGGAGATGTGGCTACAGTTGCACTGAATGAAGAATGCTCAGCTATCCTCCTCAACAAGCTGCCTCAGAAACTGAAAGATCCAAAGAGTTTTACTATTCCTTGCACAATAGGCAGTTTAAAGATTAATAAGGCTTTGTGTGATTTAGGAGCTCTGATGCCCTATTCGGTTTTTAAGAAATTAGGGTTGGGTGAACCCCAACCCACTAGAGTTGCATTGCAATTAGCTAATAGGTCCATAAAGCATCCTAGGGGAATCATAGAAGATGTGCTTGTTAAGGTTGACAAATTCATTTTTCCAGTAGATTTCATAGTGTTAGACATGCAAGAGGACGTTGATGTCCCACTTATCCTAGGGCGACCCTTCCTAGCTACATGAAAGGCAATGATTGATGTCCAACAAGGGCAACTCAGCCTTAGGATTCAAGATGAGGAAGTAATTTTTAAAATGTCTGATGCTATGAAACATGCACCTTCTAGTGATGATTCATGTTATATGATATATGTCATTGATTATGCGATTGGTGGCTGTTTTCAGGTAAACAGGTCGGCTGATCCCCTTGAGCTATGCATACAAGAAGGAGAAGCCATAATGGGAGAAAACGAAGAAATTCAAAGCATGGTGGTGTACCTGAATTCCAATCCACAGTTTCAAGGGAAGGGGTTCATCAAGTTGGAGAACTTGGACAGACCCTCGATGCTAGAAAGCAAGCCTTCAATTGAAGAGCCGCCCACCCTTGAGCTGAAGCAACTCCCACCACACCTGGAATATGCCTTTTTAGAAGCACCTTCAGCCCTACCAGTGATCATATCAACAGACTTGACCTCTTTGTAGAAGGAAAAACTGTTACTAGTGCTACAGGAACACAAGACAACTTTGGCTTGAAAGATAGTAGACATCAAGGGTATCAACCCATCCTTATGCACTCATAAAATTCTGATGGAAGATGGAAGCAAGCTCACAGTTCAGCCCCAAAGACGCCTGAACCCAAACATGAAGGATGTGGTGAAGGCAGAAATCATCAAGTTGTTAGACGCAGGTATCATTTATCCGATCTCCGACAACTCATGGGTGAGCCCCGTACAAGTAGTTCCGAAGAAAGGTGGCATGACTGTGGTACCAAATGCGAAGAATGAACTCATACCGACAAGGACGGTTACCGGGTGGCGAGTGTGCATTGATTACAGAAGACTAAACAAAGCCACATGCAAGGATCATTTCCCTCTACCCTTCATCGATCAAATGCTAGAGAGGCTAGCCGGAAATGAGTTCTATTGTTTCTTAGATGGGTACTCGGGCTATAATCAGATTCCGATATCACCGGAAGATCAGGAGAAGACCACCTTCACATGTCTCTACGGTACCTTTGCTTATAGGATGATGCCATTCGGTTTATGCAATGCTCCAGCAACATTCCAGAGCTGCATGATGGCTATATTTTTTGATATGGTTGAGAAGTTCATGGTGATTTTCATGGATGACTTTTCAGTCTTTGGTTCTTCCTTCGACGCATGTTTACATAACTTGGAAAAGGTACTCAAGCGTTGCAAGGAAACCCATCTAGTGCTGAACTGGGAGAAGTGTCACTTCATGGTGCGAGAAGGTATTGTGCTTGGGCATAAGGTTTCACAAAGAGGGATTGAGGTCGACAGAGCCAAGGTGGAGACAATTGAGAAGTTGCCACCACCAACATCCGCTCGGTCTGTGAGAAGCTTCTTGGGACATGCAGGATTCTATAGAAGGTTCATCAAGGATTTCTCCAAGATAGCTAAGCCATTGTCTAATTTGCTACAAATGAATGTGCCCTTCGAGTTCACAAAGGAATGCCTAGAAGGGTTCACCATCTTGAAGGACAAGCTGATTAATGCCCCGATCATAATAGCACCGGATTGGACACTCCCTTTTCAGTTGAATTGCGATGCGAGTGACTCAGCAGTTGGAGCTGTTCTAGGACAAAGAGTGAACAAACATTTTCAGCCAATTTACTATGCTAGCAGGACCTTGAATGGAGCTCAACAAAATTACACTGAAGGGATGAGAGATCCATCATATGGATGCCCAGATCTTGTGGAATAAGGGGGCGAATTTCAAAAATTTTTCTCTCCCTTCAACTGGGAATCACATTCCCTATTTTAGAAAAACATATTTTTCAAGGATCAATCTTGAACCATGAACCAAACCAGATCTGAACCAAAAGGAGTAGGAGGGAGGATGTACCTGATACAGAGAAACAGTATCTCCCAATGGAGGTGTTCACGCCCAAGGAAGGATCCA